AAAACAACTCATCCATTTGTAAGCTGCTGACTTCTTTTGGGTATTTTCCCCACAACTTTGTGAAGCATAGTGATTTTGCCATTTTTCTGCCCAACCTTCACCATAGATTTGATGTTCACACCTGTGTTAGACAGGGTTTTCTAGAGAAACAAAACTGGACACTTCTGATTTTATACATATATACGGAATGTAAAGGTAATTAGTCCACATGAAGGAATTTAACAGCTAGTTAGTCCACACAGCAGTACAGAGGGCTCAGTTCAACTCACCTCCGTGGAACAGTTAATATACTGGAAGTCCTTCAACTCAGGAGGGCTGCTGGGTCCAAGGTCAAGGGAGCAGAGAGCCGAGTCTTCTGTAGAGCAATGGAGGCAGTCTGGCCACAGGCAGCAAACAGCAGGGCAGGCTACCAACTGTCACCCAGATGACAGGATCCAGCATTCCCAAGCTCAGGCATTGTATACACCAGTAGCATGGTGAAGCAGGTCTCTAAGGAACCTCAAACTTTAGCACAGTGGTTCTCAACCTTCCTAGTGCTACCCGACCCTATAATACAGTTCCTCATATTTTTGTGAGCCCCAAGCATAAAATTACTTTCATTTCTACTGTATAACTAATTTTGCTACTGTTATGAATTGGGTGACCCCTGTGAAAGGGTCATTCAACCCCCAAAGGGGTCGCAACCCACAGGTTGAGAACTGCTACTCTAGTGACACGATCCATGGGTCGGGTGTCCAATAGATAGTGTAGCTGGTAAGTTAAGGCAGAGAACTAGCTAAGGCCACCACACACTGGTACGATCACCAGGGAGCAAGAGAGAGACAGGTGGAGCTTGCCGAACCATTTATCTCTTTGCCCTCCAATCAAACTGCGACCCTATTAATCCACATGTTCCTATTGGCCAGGTTGGCACAATAAGTTTACCATCACAATATCCTTGCTTCAATTTTAGTAGAATCAATTTGTGGGGTGGGGGTGGGGGGGTCATATAAATGTTGAAAACCTATGCCTAGCTTTTTTGTAATCCATATTCTCCACAAGCTCTTTGAAGACCCTTGTATATCTGTAAGGAACCCTGGTGGCAGTGCAGGCTAAGTGGTGGACTGCTCCAGCACACAAAGAGGAGGCTGTCTGCTCCTGTAAAGATTCACAGCCGCATACAGGGTCACTCCATGAGTCAGCACTAACTCAGTGGATTTTGTATCTATGATAATTTCAATATTTCATTGTCTTCTGTGTAGTTCTTTTTGCCCTTAGTATATATCCCATTAGGGAAAGTGAGAAACCAAACTCAACTGCCATCTAGTCCATGCTGACGCACAGCGACCCTATAGGACAGGGTAGAACTGCCCCTGTGAGTTTCTGAGACTGTCACTCTTTTTGGTAGTAGAAGGCCCTGTTTTTCTCAGCTCATCCAAAATACGTATGAGATAGACACAGTTTCCCTTGGTAAGCAAGGGACTGCTAACCACAGGTTGACAGTTCAAGCCCACCAGTCACTGTGCTCCCCTAAAGATTTATAATTTCACAAGTCCTTTATTAGGGTCACTACTAGTCAGAATTGACTCAATAGCATGAGGTTTGGTTTTCCACAGCGTGTACTGTAAATCCTGTTCAAGATACTATACTTTAAATACTGTTCTGTATAGCCATTTTACTTAATGATCAGTCTCAGTGATCACTGTTCCAGTTATATCGATAACGCCACTCCTTTAAAATAGTAATGTACCAGGATTTATTCAAGTAGCCCCGTACTATTCCATTTTCCTTTAAGTCCCAAGAAACATATGTATGGCAGAATCTGATAGGAGGATTTAGTATGATTGACAGCTTTAAAATACTGGAATCTTTCCCTAAGGTATGCATAATCTAGTATTCCAGAGTGGTAGAAAGTTTTCATGAAATGTATTTTGGTGCTTACCTTTGCCTACCAATTTATCCAAACTTCAGCCATTTAATCATGTTGGCTATAATAAGGGGTGTCACACCATTAGAGCTTTTGGAGTCAATATTCCTTGCTTTTCAGTATTTCTGTCTTTTCTGAGTATCAACTGTTTGCCATGGTTACAGTCCTCCGTAACCAAATCATGCATTTTCATGTGAATGCTTTTATCCCTACTTTTCCAGGGTATTGACTAATATTTGTGAAAGTCAAAGTTAAAGAAAGTCTAATGTTAAAATGAAGTTTACTAGACTGGAAAATGATAATGTTTTTGCCTAACTTTTTGCTTCTATAAGCTTTACGGTATTGTAGTTATGACTATTGTTGATGCTGATATTTCCTCTTGAATCAGATGCTCTGCCTTACTCGATACGGGTCCTTTTGGAAGCTGCTGTACGAAATTGTGATGGATTTTTCATGAAAAAGGAAGATGTTATGAACATTTTAGACTGGAAAACCAAACAAAGCAATGTGGAAGTGCCCTTTGTTCCTGCCCGTGTTCTTCTTCAAGATTTTACGTGAGTGAGGGGTTTATTTGTTACTTCAATGAATTTTCAGTATGTTCCCTTTTCAAATTCAGGCCACCTGAGGATGACTGTTTCTGCTGCTTTCCAATTTTGAAAGTTAGTTTAGAAAAGAAAAGTGTTCTTTCTAAACAATAGCAAGTCACTAAAAATAGGTACGTACTGATTTATTGTACCACTTATTCAGGAATTGCTTTTGCTTAATTGCCTAATTAACATTTCCTTTAACTGTTGATATTGTCTTCTCAGCTTGGCCTGCCCAAAGCTCGACACCTCCCACCCACCCCCATTCCTTCCATCACAGTAAATAGCACCTTTAGTCTCCCATTTGCTTAGGCCAAACATCTGGGCGCCACCTTTCCATCCACTCCTAGTACTCAAAGACAATCTGTCAAGAAGTTTTGTTGGTTGTACTTTTGGAATTTGTCCTGAGTCCAAAGACTTCTTACCATCTGCACCATTATCCTCTTGTTTCTAAATGCCTGAGTTACTGCTGCAACCGTTTGAATCTGGTATCCACACTTCACATTTGTGATCTGCAGACTGTTCGTTGCATAGCAGATAGATCAACCTGGTAAGAATGTTAACCAGATCTTAGCATTCTCCTCCTTCAAATATACCGATTGGCTTTTATCCATTTAGAATAAAATCCCAACTCTTCCCCACACCTTGAAAGACTCTCCCTGGTCGGAGTATATGTAGGGATAATTTACTGAAGAATTAAGCTAAGTTCTTAAGAAAATATAGGTGTGAACTAGCCAAATAGCATTTTCATTACCTACTTACCAAACCTCCTTTGTGTGTCACTGCTGGGTGTACTCTGTACATTCTGCTATTAAGACATAGTCTGATATTTTGGTGCCATTTGTCATCATTACTCTATCTTCCTACAAGGTCCTTGAAAATAGAAACAATGTCTTTTCTGACCTTATACACATTGGAGGCCTTTGATCGATGTTATTTCATAGGAAGACCGTTCCCTTGAAATCCTCATGCCTTGAAAAATCATCTCAGTTGCTTTTGGATCAGCTTCCCCCCGGGAACTCTCGTTCTTGGATATTGATCACTCTCTTAAACCAGATACATCGAACTTTGGATAACTGGTACTTTCCCAAACATGAATGCAGCCTGAAAGGGATACTTTAAAATATTAAACAATGAATAAGCTTATGCCCATCATGTATTGGTGTCTCTCAAGGAACTGGATCCTTCTTTCTTTTGCAGTGGAGTCCCGGCAGTAGTGGATTTTGCTGCTCTGAGGGAGGCAGTGAAAACCCTGGGAGGTGATCCTAAGAAAGTTCATCCTGCCTGTCCGACAGACCTCACGGTTGACCATTCTTTACAGATTGACTTCAGTAAATGGTACTTCTTTACAGATACTTCTAAAGACAGCCATGGAACGGCCTTGGCTGCCAGTCCCCTGGAAGTGTATGCTTTAGAGGAAAGAGACTGTTTTTGCCAATGTCAAGTATGCTGTGCTTAATATTGACTAGTGTGTTTTAAAACACCTGTTTAGAAGTTGGTAGATTCTTTGTCCTTAGTCTGGGCTTAAAAGTTGTTTTTGTTTTGTGTATGTTCTTCTGCTGCCATGTTGCTAGAAATGTATGAGCCTAGAGCCTGCTCTTTTGGGGTGAATATCTGAACTCGGTCTCTTTCTGGGTTAGTTTTTCCGAAACCCCATTTACCGTCTAGAAAGTATGTAAAGAGGTGAGCCATGAATATGTCTTTGATTAATTGGTGTCAGAAAACACTGACCCCACTAGAGCTGTAACTTCTTCCACCAAAGTAAATTTCTTATATTTCTTAGCCTCCCATTTAAAGGTCCAACTCGAGATTTCATGCTTCTATTACATTCATATACCAGCTGTCTTTACATTCACTGGAGTAGCGAAATAAGACTACAGTTTGTGACTACCCCTGAGAGATTTTAGATTAAAGTGATGATTCTGAGCTTTTTAAACTTTGATGGAACCCAAAATCTCTTTTAGTACTTGCTCAAAGTTATTCAAATTGTTAACAAAGTTTCTATTTCTATAATTTAAAATTACCTGTGTGTGTGTGTGTGAGAGAGAGAGAGAGAGAGAGAGAGAGAGAGAGAGAGAGAGAGAGAGAGAAAAATGAGAGGTTTGCTTTTTTTTTTCGAAGAGCTAATTTTGGTCACTTTTAATTTGTCTTCTGTGTCTCCTTTTTGGAATCATAGTGCAATACAGAATGCTCCAAATCCTGGAGGGGGTGACGTGCAGAAACCAGGAAAGCTCTCTCCACTTCGAGTACAGCCTAAGAAGCTGCCCTGCAGAAGCCAGGCTCCCTGCCGTGGACCGTGCAATTCTGGAGAACTGGGCCGAAACTCAGGAAAATTTTCCTCCCAGATTGAGAACACACCCATTCTGTGTCCTTTTCATTTGCAACCAGTGCCTGAGTATGGAATTCTTTTTGTTCGTATATATTAGCCAGACTGTAGTTAAAGACATCATGCTTGTCCCCTTGCTCCCCATCCCGTCCATTCCACTGCCTTCATTATTTTCTTTGCTGGTTTTGAAATGAGTATGCATGTCCCTTTGTTCTGAAGGAAGCTCTAAATATTTAAGTGCTAGTCTATAGCTAAAAATGTCATTATTTACTTCTGCTTCTGAGAAGGCAAAGCTTATCTGTAAATATATTTTTTTACACTAAAGTAGAAAATGTGGTCTTTTATTAAACTACATTTTTTACTTAGTGAATTCATACCATTTTTCATATGCTCATTAGTCATTCCTATTACTTTTGTGGATTGCATTAAGATTTGTCTGTATGTTAAGAATGATCCTTTATGTTAGATGTGTGCTTTTACATAACTGATTACCTGCATAATACTTTGGAAGGTAGTAAACCTTACCAGAAAAGAATCCTATTCATAGGCTTTGGTTGGATTTCCTTGTTCACAAGAAGAAAAATAGTTCTATGACTTGAATTTTTATATATTATGAAATTTCCAAAACAACTTGGTATAGTTTTGAATGAGAGGATCTTAGAGCCTTTAATGCTTTTTTTTTAATTTTGGGGAAAAAACACAATACATTTAAGACTTAAAATAGCTAAGAGTAATAACTCCACATAGTTCATACTAAATGCCAAATATTGTATTAATTCATTTGTCATTAAACTGGATCTTTAACCTTTATCTTAGGTAATTTAAGTTCTTAAAATGTAGAACTAAATGCTGGACTCAGTAGTCTATACAGCCTCAGGGTTCTAGTGTTGCATGGACTCTTCCTTTCTAAGAATCCATTATCGCTCTCTCTCTTTCTCCACCCCCACCCCACCCAGTAATTACCCTTATTGTTAAGGACATGTTGACTTTTGAAATTAATATCTCTTCTTCTACAAAAATTAATTTCCTGCACGGATCTATTGATTCAAAAGTCTGGATGTGCTTGGTTGTCCTTTCATAACTGACAGGATATGATGTGTTTGAGTAGTGTTTTTGTTGTTGTTTAGAAACAAACTCCAGTGTGGTATAACATCCTCCATTTTGACTTTCAATTGCAGAATATTTTAAGCTGGCTTATATTGGCCTTGTGAAAAGTAACTCTTGTATTCCTTATTACATTAACGAAGGGTTTAATTAGACACTCAGGCAAGAAATTGAGGGAATTGAAAGTTGAGAGCATAGCATTTGGCACTTGAAATTATTACCTAATTAGATGTAGGCTTATGAGCTAATAAATGTTTGTAGGGCACTTTGTAGCCCTAAGTGCTAGGAAAAGGGAAGTGACTGTAGGGACTCTGCAAAGGCACCTATGTTCCCTGAGGTCCTGGGAGCAGGCTCACTTAAGATGTAGTCTGACTTTAAAAAGACCCATTAGATAAAAATGGTGCTATGTTTACTGCTTGGAGATTTTTTTTTTGCCTCTTAAATAATTCATGTAAATTATGTTTGTAATCCATGTAAGCAGCCACTTACCCAATCTTGAGGGAGATGAAAAGATTTTTGTAAAAAGTATAAGCTAGAAAATGATGTTGAGCCTGTTTGCCACAACTACATAACAAGAACTTCATTCTCTAATCAATGCCTGTCTCCTGGTTTCAATCTGCGCATGAGGAAAGTAGGTGGAAACAGACATGCTTATGGTTGAATGAACCACTCACTCATCACTCTCTTTTCCCCTGCAATGTAAAACCCAACAAAGTTTACCATTTTTTGTTTCTGTTATGATTTTAGTCGACTCTTACATAGTACATGATTTTGCTACGCTAAGTAAAGTGCTTTGCTACTTTCTATTGTAAAGTTGGAAGAAAAAATTGCTGATTCTAAGAAGTCTGATGAATTGCTCTTCCATTGATTTTTTTCTTCTGTGTTTGCATATATTTGTATAGAAATGAAAGCTTAGACAGACATAAGACAAATATTTCCTGTAATACATGCATCTAATACCAGCTCTTCTTCCATCTAGACCTGAAACAGTGTTAAAAAATCAAGAAATAGAATTTGGCAGAAATCGAGAGAGACTTCAATTTTTCAAGGTATAGCTTTTGTCTAGAAATTGATAAAGATAATTGATATTTATTATTTTTATAGCTTTTAAGCTAGGGGACTTGAAAGGTTTTATAGCAATAGAACCCTTTCTGTTCCCCCAAATAAAATATTACTTGAAATCTTGGTGTATGAAAAAAAGATAGAAAGTAGAATGACTTTCGTTTAAGTGAGCTTGGGAGGTCTCTAAACTATTTCAGTAGTTGTCTTAGGAATCATTTCATTTTGTTTGAATAACTGATTAATAACTGTAATGAAGTATGGTCTGTAAACTTGTAATTGACTATATTGAATATTGGCTAAACCAATTTTAGTGTCAACATGCATTCTTATGTATTCAAATTCATACTGTCTAATTCTTATATTTCTAAATTTTAAACAAAATATAGTGGAGTTCAAGAGTCTTTAAGAATGTGACTGTCATCCCTCCTGAAACTGGAATGGCTCATCAAGTAAACTTAGAATATTTGTCAAGAGTGGTTTTTGAAGAAAAGGACTTCCTCTTCCCAGACAGTGTAGTGGGCACGGATTCTCATATAACCATGGTGAATGGTTTGGGGATTCTAGGATGGGGTAAGTAAAAGACCAAATAGATTTCATAAGTCCATAAATAGCAGGTCTGTTTAGCCTCTTTGAGACAGTCTATGTTAGCAACAAAATGTTTAAATTCCTAAGAGTTTATAAGCCATGTATTGAAAGAGAAGATTCATTAAAAGAGTTTTGCCTAGTGCACAGCATAGTAATCAGAAGGATCCTGCTGTCAATGAACGCAGTGTTGGTGACTGACTCCCTTGTTTGAAGTTCCGTAGTGGCTTCTACTGGCCTCCTTTATGCATCCAGATTCATTAGTACCTGGCATGGTAAATATTCAATAAATGTTGCTAGGTGCTGTTGCGTCAGTAGAATGGAGCAGTAACAATAGGAGCCCTGTGGTGTAGTGGGTATGGGTTGGGCTGCAACAGCATGGTTGGCAGTTCGAAACTATTGGTAGCTCCTCGGGAGAAAGACCGAGCTTTCTACCCCAGTAAATAGTTAGTCTCGGAAACCCATGGGGGGTGGTTACTATAAGTCAGCACTCACTTGATTGCAGCGAGAGTTGAAACTGTAATTTCTTGAGAGCCGATCACCAGAGCTAGTGTTCTGTAGACTAACTAATTGTTTTGACCTACCAGCCTTTCTGTTAGCAGCCAAGCATTGAACCATTGTACCACCAGCGCTGCTTCAATAAATGTGTGCTGGATTGAAAATCTGATTTTATAACCATCTGAGTTGAATCATTCTGAGAAGTTTTAGGATTGCTGAATCAGAACAACTCAATGGCGGTGGGTGGGCTCATTAGTCACATAGCCATAGCAGTGTAGCAGCTTTTTGTTAGGTACTGTGTAAGGCTCATGAACTACCTAGAGATTTGGAGTTCACAGCAGTAAGTTATCTTTAAATATACTGGGCTAATCTACCTGTCTATTACTTTAGGGGTTGGAGGGATTGAAACAGAAGCCGTAATGCTTGGTCTGCCAGTTTCTCTAACTTTACCCGAGGTGGTTGGATGTGAGTTAACTGGGTCATCAAATCCTTTTGTTACATCCATAGATGTTGTTCTTGGTATTACAAAGGTAAGTTAAAGTCGTAGCTTGTGTGGCAAATGTGTTACGTTAGAAGCCCCATCAGAGCAGGGCTGGTTATCACAGCATCCTCAGCATTTGGACATAACCAGCCACAGATGCCATCATAGCAGTAACAGCAAACACAAAACCCTTCCTCCTAAGCACAAAAATGTTGTGTCACAATTTACTTGGCATACATTTGAGTTCATTTATCACTACAAGCTTGTGAGATCACTGCTGTTAGTATCCCCATTTCAAGTCTGAGGAAAACTGGGGTACAAAAAAGGCCTGATGACTTACCAAGGTCATAGAGCCAGGTAGTAAGTGGTAGAAGAAGGATTTTAGCCCAACACATTCATGTTCTTGGGTTCATGTTCATAACTGTAATTCTTATTGTCTCAATAAATGTTGGTTGACTAAACGAATTTTTTTAAAAAACAGACCTCTAATTAGCAAGTCTGATTGCATCGCCTTAATATTTAGTTATTTGCCCTTAGAAATCGTTACTCCACTAGGTAATACATTAAAAATTATAGACTGGAAAATGTGATAGGGTCAAAATTTTCTCTTGTTTGTTGTATGTAGTATAAGGTGATGGGAGCCAGTCCCCCACCACTAGTCGCGGGTTCAATAAGCACAATTGTACGGTTGAGATGTATAAATGTTATATTAAACTCATCGAGAGCATGAGCGATAGAAGAGTCAAAACAATGGAGTCAGACACATTACATGGTAGCATTGCTCACCTCAGCCCCGCTTGGTGGTCCGTGTGGAGAGAGGGGGAAGGGAAGGAGAACAAGAGGAAAGGGAAATGGAGTACTGGAGAGGAGAGAGGGAAGAGAGGAGAGAGCGAGAGGGCAAGAGACCTCTATTGCTAACCCAGACCTATATACCTTCTGGGGGCATGCAAGCCCACTAATTACAGGTCAAGACATACATAAACTATAGGTTATACAGCAGTGAGGGGGTGGTCTAGGGACATGCACGCAATAGGAAGAGGAGGGATTGGGGGTATACATGTGACAAGATGGGCGGATCCTAGATACAGGATGGCAGCCTAACTTTGGATGTCACAGAACCAGTTCTACCTGTTCCCTGCCTCAACTGGAACCAAGCAATGGTCGCAAGCCTTAGGGAAAGTAATCCATTGTCTCCGGCAGCAGAGAGCAGGCCCACCCCTTCAGGGAGGATGTAAGTATTTAACCTGCCCCCACAATTGTAACATTTTGTTGACATATATAGAAAGTTTTTCTCTGAATTTAAAAAATAGTAGTTACATGGTATTCTGAAGATATGTGCTCATAAGTTTCCTAGTGAACTTTGTGTCTTAAATTTCTAGTTCTCACCAACTTAGTTATACTGATTACCGTTTGGTTGCATGTGGGAAAAAAACCTAGAAAATGCTTTATATGTAATTCCAATTTGAGTCTCCCAATATCAGCATTTTTTGTTAAGCTTTCTGGGTCCTCAGGACAAGAAAATGATAATGCCTTTATCAAATAGTATTGATCCTTATTCTCTAATAGGAATTTTTTTTTGACATTTTAGAGAATTGATTGATTCTGTATGTGTTACCTAAATTGGGAATTGCAGGATTATTCCCAAAAGAAAAGGAGTATCCCATTATCTTTCAGAGAAATTCTGAGAATTACTGCCCCTTTTAGATTCTAAAAGAGGCTCTTTTATCTTAACAGTATTATTATTTATGTTTTTCAACATTTGGGTTATTGATTCCAAAATTTGATCTACGCAGGTTTGCCCTCTCCCCTTTGGAATTCTGTGTATTTGAGATTTTTCCCCCCTTCATTTTACTTCTGTTGTGGTTGAGAGGGTGTACAGTGCACCGTTCAGCAGTATGTGCGTGAGTTCAGTGAGATGGAGCACATCCTTTCCTGAGGCGGTCCTCCCCCATTCACAGAACTGCCTGCTCCCCAAGTTTCCTCCCTGTTCGTTCCAGTCACTGTTAGCCATTTGGTCTCCTACAGACAGATCATAAAGGAGCAAAATGCTCAAGACAGATCTTTTTCACTAGTTAGCTAAACTGTTTGGTTTCAGGAAGACTTCCCGGGATTATTTTGAGTTTATGATGCTCATGTAGTTGTTTTCCAATTGTTTCTCTCCTACTCCTACTCCTACTCCCCTTCCTGAGCACTCTTTTCTATGAACCCGAGACCCTTTTACAGTTTCAAAAAGGGTGAGTTACTTAGAAACAACTAAGAAAATTGGATTTTTAGAAGGAATCAAATTAAGCACATGTTAATTCTACCCATCAAGAATTGAGTAAGAGGGTTGTGCCAGTATATTAGCGTTTCAATGAATCTAAAATGCCGTAATAGTTAAAAGTACTACTGTTTCCTCCTTATCGCTGATAAAGAAACGGGCCCACCAGCTAAACAGACACACCACTGGGTTCAATGTGCTACTCCTAGTTCACTGGGTTCAATGTGCTACTCCTAGTTCAGAGGTGTTAAAATCTGAATCTTGGCCACCTGAAGCTGTCAGGCACTTCTCTACCAAGATTAACAGTGAAGTGTGACTGCTCTCCTGTTGATTACGTAAAACCCCCATAGAACCAGAATAAGTTGATGTTTGACAGACAACACTCTTAATGCACACTACTATTATTGTTCCCAGGAATCCATGCTAATCTTGGCACTGCTAATTTTGTATGTGCTTCTCTGTGTCCCTTTTGATAGCACCTCCGGCAAGCAGGAGTGGCTGGAAAATTTGTTGAGTTTTTTGGGCCTGGAGTTTCACAGTTATCTATAGTGGATCGAACCACAATAGCAAACATGTGTCCAGAATACGGTGCTATCCTCAGCTTTTTCCCTGTTGACAATGTGACACTCAAACACTTAGAACATACAGGTAAGAAGGTCAAGTGGAGGGGGTGGCGGGTGGCTAATATATCCATTGTGTCCGCCTGGCAGTATTTTATAATAAACACCTACCTTGTACCATGCATGTTATTTAATATCCATGAAATTTTTATTTTGAAGCAATGGCTCACAAACTGTCTCAGGTGTCTTTAGAGTGTTTTGTCATCAAGCCTTAGCCACATGACCCATTCACACCCACTGAAAAGAAGTAATTCAAAGCTGCTGGTCCTTGCTGGACTCTTTCTTCAAAATAGCTTCTGCTTAGGGATCAGGTTGCGATGTAAAGGAAGTCAATTTTGAGCATATCCACAGGTATCGCTTCCTGTACCAGAGGTTGAGAAGACTTCAGGCAAAAGAATTTGAGAATCAGTGCTCTATCTCTTTTTTGAGCTACAGGCTCTGAATCTTTTCATAGCTTGACTGACTATTATTTTGCCTCTTTCTTGTTGATGTTGAATTTAAAATAAGTACCAGAAAAGGTGTGTTGCTATTTCATGAAGTTAGTATTCTTTAAGAAACAGGAACTCTTAATTTGATCCACTTTATTGCTTGTTTTATTTTTGAAGAGATCATTACTGAGCCATTTAGTCCTATAGCCAAAGGTAGATTTCTGGGTTGCACTCTAGTTATTCTTCAGCTTAAAGGCATATGAACTGTAAGTGCATGAGTGAGATGGCAAAATGTATAGTGCTTTGGATCCCTGGAGAGAATGGTCCCCACGTAGCACGCAGCCTCGTTCTCCCTGGATTTGGGTTGGCAGAGTGTTCAGGAGTTAGCCATGGCTAGAGAAGCCTCATTCCTTGCATATTAAAGTGAGCTAATGAATTTCTCTTTAGCCTGTTATCCTGAAACTCAGTGGTTGTAAAACAGTAGTTTATTGTTTTGCCATGTCTACAGATTAGTGACTCAAGACAAAACACAGCAGGCACAGCTTGTCTTTGCCTTGAGAGTCTCAACTTTGCCACTTGCTGGCTGTAAAACTTGGCTCTGGATCATCAGTTTAAAGACCTACAGGACAGGGTCTGGCCTTATGAAGCCTTGTCCACTCGCATCTCTGGCTCTAAGTGCTGAATGTCTCCTGAGGGCTTACCTGGGGTTCTCAGCCAGAGCACAACCATATGTGACCTGTGTGTGTGTGCTGGGCTTACTCACACCATGGTGTCTTTTCAAGGCTTCTGCTTAGGGATCAGAGGTTGAAGTGTAAAGGAAGTCCATTTGGAGCATATTTACAACTATCCCTCTCTATTCCACACCATGAGAAAGTGCCTGGTGGAAATTACATTGCCTTTTGTGATTTCAAAGTCAGCACAGCATTGTTTCCACCATATTCATTTGGTTGAAACAGTTTCAGGTGCTTGCACAGGTCCAGGGCTGACTGGGGACTTCCCGTTTAGTTATAAGAGCATTTGAGGTGGGTTGGTATCGAGGCCCTCATAGGAAAGCAGTCTGTCACAGCTGTTTATTCTCACTGGGCTTGGAAGTAACTCTCCATGTTTCATTGGAAACTAAAAATTCTTAGCATATAAATTCTTTTAATTTCTGGAACAGCTTATTTGATCTCTTTGTATGCTTCGTGAAAGAAATCTTTTATTTACTTACTTTATTTTGATCATCAATGTTGCTTGTTAATTTAGGGGGGAAATAGTGAGTTTCTCCCTTCCTGACTAGTACTAATTTATTATGTTCCGTTTCATTATTGGTTTTATTCCACAAATAGTATTTTTGGGTGAGTTTTGTTCAGTAGTCATTATTGTGTCTTTGAAATAACCTTTAAATGAGGACAGTGCGGGACAAGGGACGTGTTTTGTAGCGTTTTCATGAAAGGTAATACTTTGGAAGAAAATACCAACTACTAATTTAAAAAGAGAGGGTTAACCCTCCCCC